CAATTTTATTACTCTTTCAGTTTATTTTATAATAATCTTGTCCATTTTTGTGTCAGTTATTTTTTATTAAATGTACGCGTCTCGATATAGCTGATACAAGATAAAGTAAATTTGGAAGAGGAAATATTTGTTTGAAGTATAATTCGTGTCATGACTCGCGTCTTGGTTCTTCATAGCCGGTATCGGCATTTGACGTGAAACGTGAGCTCTGCGTTTTTGGCGTATGGTACGCATGTGATCAGTCTAGCGACTAGTCTCCACGATATAATGAAGATGTAGCAGATATTGGCAGCTTTGCATGTGAGCGCAAAACGCTCTAAACAAGTTGCAAGTTCCTCTCTTTAAAAAACTTTACTTCTCATTCCCGATTGCTTACTTATTAGTTTATTCTTTTATTGTTATAAAAGTTGATCGTCTATTGCCTTTTGAATTACCTGTGAATATCATTTTACGCAAATGAATATGTTACTATAAAGTTACTTGTTTAAACATAAGTCTATTTCTTGCTGATGTTGTACATAAAATATGATAAGCGATAAGAGACCACTATTATAGTGTGATACGTCCTAAAGAAAACCTGACAAACACGATTATAATCATCTGAGCAAAAATTCTTAATGCAAGGAAACCCCGTCTACTGTCAATATTATACAGAGCTCTAGATGCCCGCCGGGCTTGGGCTACAATTTATACCCACATAAACTCGAACGTACCGCTCTAGTTCCGTAGAGATGTACAACTTTATGCCTTTGGTTCTTTTTGTCCTCTAAACAAACAATGCTTGGTCTGATCTAAAAGATATTTCAACTTTTCATTAAACTTAGTCGTCAAGCGTAAAACAATCTTCTACAAATTTGTATGAAGACCTTTGACCCATTATCTTCTCTATTCACATGTTTACGTGTCACATGCTTAGGGCGCTTTAACGTACGAACTTCAACTATTGTAACAAACGATATAAATCAATTTGAGGCTTTACTACTTTATTATCAGCCAACGACGCTCGGTTAATACTCAACAATGTCAGTAGAGAATTTTGAGAGTCAAGGGCCATTCCAGCATCGTGATCGCTTGAGAGTCGTACGGTCGAAATGAAACGTCGTATCTTATTTTATGATTAGCGGCTCGAAAGCGCTTTGTAATTTTGTTAGTTCCGCCTTTCTGGTGCTGGGGGCGAGCGCAGAGAGTGGAGATCGATGCGAGCATTGCGTGCGAGTGCGATAGGGAGCGCGACAGTCGATGCTTGCGCCGTCCCTTTCACTCGAACCGCCTACAAGGCAGCCATGTTGCGCTCGACCTGCGCTCGTCCGACCGCCATTGTAGCATTCGTGGCTAGTGATGTTCACTGACTCACTCGATATAATTGTACGCGCGGCTCTGACTGCGCGAAATGTTACTAGCAAAATTAAATAGCCTTATCGTTATTTAAGTGACAACCAACACAATGATACTAGCATATATTCAACAGATCGTCAATCGACACGATTAGCACATACGAATTTTTAAAACAATTATTGAAAGTTAAATAGCTGGCAGTTTAATAGTTAAGTAAATAGGAGTTATTAATAGGTCCATAGCTGCAGTGAATCATTTTTTTTTTTTGGCTGAAGTTATAGCGACTTAACTCGCTCGATAACTAAGGGAATTGTATGTTTATTCTACGAAGATATAATTTAAAATGGATTCCATTAAAATACAATTTTATTACTCTTTCAGTTTATTTTATAATAATCTTGTCCATTTTTGTGTCAGTTATTTTTTATTAAATGTACGCGTCTCGATATAGCTGATACAAGATAAAGTAAATTTGGAAGAGGAAATATTTGTTTGAAGTATAATTCGTGTCATGACTGGAAAGTTAAATAGCTGGCAGTTTAATAGTTAAGTAAATAGGAGTTATTAATAGGTCCATAGCAGTGAATCATATTTTTTTTTTTGGCTGAAGTTGAGTTTCATTCTTCATCAGTCATCATTTTTATGATTTCTATTATATTAAATCAAATATTTACTAAATAATCCACATATTAACATCTAAAAGCAAGTTGTTTTTTCTACTAATGATATTTGGAAACCCAAATTGTAGCGAAATGAGTAAATGTACATTTTTGGATGTATATGTATTCGGAACTTAAAAAGCTCGGAAATGCAAGTTGCCTATTCCTAACCTACAAACAATAGGTAAAAGATAAAATATAATATGTAATTTTTTTATTTTCTTGTATGATAAATAGAGAAGTACCTTTACGATGTCGACAACATAGTCGATAAAAATATGCAGTGTACATATACTCGCGGCTCCGGAATTAAAATGTCAGACGTGCGGCAGCGGCAGCGCGGCCTAGCGTGGGGGCTTGAGGGGGCCGCGGTGTGGAGCGAGAGGGGGGCACGGGCGGCCAGCGTTATTAATAACCATAAGCCAGCAGACGCACGAACGTCCAGAGGGGCCACGCCAGCCGCGCGGTAATGAGGAATCGCTAATTATATTTTACTGGACTTTCGTATGAAAGCAACATTAAATACACGAGAGACGTAGAAATATAATTCAAACAGTATTCGATATTGAGCATTCTAGTACCAAATGTGAGTATTTTTATAAAAGTCCATGCAGTTAAACCGTTCAACCATAGTCGAATAATAATGATACACAACATTTGCTTTGAAATCACATCGCTTGGTAGTGCAGCGTAGTGGATATTGGATCCTGGAACTGAAACAGAATGGCAAGATAATAATAATGGCATAGCTGGCGAGGTACGGTCCGTTTAATATTCCCCCACAGTAGGCGCGCCGGTTGCATGAGACAGTTCTACCCGTTCTCTAGTCCGTGTTCGCCTCCGCCAGTAAAAACTCAGTATATTTTATTGTCAAGGAAATATATTTGTCAAAGGCCGTGCGATTAATTGCTTGACTTTTCTCAAGTGGCGCATCTACCCTAAGGAGATTTTCTTTTAAGAATCTGTTTGACTTTAATGTTCGTTTTAATAGGCAGTCAAAATATGACAGTTATTTTGCGAACAGCTTCTATGCTAATGACTAATGAGTCACAAATATTTCTAATATGAATGTGTATATATACTTAAAATCTGCGCTATCGAGTTTCCTATAAAATTATAAATTGCTTTTGAGTCCGCGCCGCTTGTTAGATAAGTTACTTTTGTAACTATCCCAACTTCAACTTCATTTACTAAGAAGCGACTTTACGCTGTGTCCTTATTTTTCTCTGTACATAAAGAGCAACTTATCGCTGGCAGCACTCCGCTTTCATAATAACAAACTGCAAAATACTCCGGGTTCTCCGAACTTTAGTGTGGCAGTCCCGCTCGCCGTTGGAAACCTCTAAAGCGCTGACGGTGGGGCGTACATTCTCTCCTGCGGCGGAGTCACGGTGGCAGGGCTGTCGGGAATTGCCGACTTGGATAAATTATGCTGCTCGCTCCCCCCTTTTGCAATCTCCGCAAAATAATGCAATTCAATTGTAAAGAGAAGAGAAACTGACATTTGTCTTGTCTTTTGTGAGATTCATCTACTTACTGCGCTGTTATTGTGATAAGGGTTTATTTAAATCGTTTGGATGTGATCGTGATTCGTAAAGACTTACCGAAGGTGTTGCTTTTTGGTAGGTGGATGTTGCGAAGGTATATTGAAATGTTAATTTTGTTCAAGTTAACACTAGAAGTTTGTAGTCATTAACATTGTATCTCCTTTTTTTGACACAACATTTGAAATAATTGATAAATGATTTGTCAAGGTCGGACAACTAGCACTAAATTATTGTAGATACACGAAAATGTAAAACATTTCTTAACGGGACTAAGTCGATTACATTGCTGTCATCGTAAATTATAATGAATTCATATAAAATCATAAATTCTTTCGTATCCATAACTTAATTTTTGTTAGGTACATTCAGTGTTTAGTAGCTAGTAGAGAGAAGTTTTTATTCGGAAAGTCTGGCCTTCGGCTTGCAGTGGAGAACGCGATTAACTTTCGGCTTAAGCTTGTGAACTTTTTGTTATCGTCGCTTGTTTCAAATTGCGAATTAATTCGAATCGCCGCCGACTGAGTTAAACACTTCGTTGGCTCACTGCTATGTTCATTTTTGTTATCATTTTGAACTTATCTGCATGATAATACAAGAGCAGAATAGTTTAACCTGGCGCCAGTCCGACTCGGTTTCAATTAGATGTCCATTGACGTGACCGGAGGCATCCAAGCGGCTCTTTAATCATAAGATCGTTAATATACAACGCAGTCATCCGTACACATTGCTTGTGCGATTGGACGCAGTTGTAACGGCATGGAAATGACGGGGCGGTGTATTGCGTTATGGCGTTATGATCGCCGACGTTTATAACGTCTATGATGTATCTAGCCAATAATCTGTAACTTTTTAGACTTGACTACTGCGTCATACGGAGAAACCCTAAATGTAATTCTTGCAAAATACTTAGTACAAGGCTTACTAGGATAGTTATGATACACCATAATTTATTTGATATTAACAGCTCATCTACTCATCGTTCATAACAATAATAATAATGTAATAATTGAAATAACTTAATTGTAACCTATTTTTGTCTTTTTTTTACTTTATTTTACTGTATTATTTTTACTCTTATTCTGTGAGAATGTAACACTAAAGCTCAGGCACAGCAATTAAACTACTAGCACAAATTAACCAAACATGGTACTTGTCAAATTTAAACCATCATCACCAACAGCCTTTAATAGTCCACTGCTGGACATAGGCCTCTCCTTAGATCTTACTTTTTTGTTTCATTCAGATATTTTTAACATAACTATAAAGAACGTGCAAAGCATTTCAATACATTTCATTTTTATAATAACTACTGTGGAGATATAATATATAAACTAAAGGAATCACAAACAGTCAGAACCCACACAAAGAGTGTAGGATCAAGAACAGATACCGATCTAGCAATCTTTCTTACAAAGTATCATACGTAAATGAAAAAGTTTATACCTCTTTTATTTTACAGGGATATCCACCACCGCCGAGGCCTCCTCAGCCGTCCACCCCAAACGCACACGATCCAGATTCGGTAAGTGTCAACAATCTTTAAAAAGATTCGAGAAGTTATCCGTATTAAAAATCAAATGATAAAGGAAACTTTTATTGTACATCTTCTACGTTGTTGTTATGTACACTACTTTTTGCGTACGTACGTACGTCTGATAATAATAATATCAATCAACGCATCGCAAGGAATCAATGAGAAGGTATTACAAAGCTATCAAGCATACGAGAGAAACCTTCAACCTTTTAATTTGTGGCCTTGTATCTATACTAGCCAAGTTCCTCTCGTTCGTCATTGCATATTATTAAACTTAAGAAATATCTTTGAAATAATGTAGGTGTCATGTAAAAACGTATATTTATAAAATGTCGACGTTACACTGTGGTGTGTTGTACACTAATGGCTGAATAATGTAGGCAGCTGGTCACGTAAAGAACAAAGTACAATGTCGGTTTCTGCACGTAATGAAGCTGTCTATAGATGCCTGCTACTTTAAAGTTCGTACATTTATTTTTACATTGTCGTTGTATTTTATTGGTCATACATGTTTACGGGTATTTGTTTTGGCAATTTCTAAAGCTCTCATATTAATAGTCTAACGGAGGCCTTTTCGGACTGTCATTCCATAGAATAAAGGCATTTTGGCGTTTTGCAAAGTCGTTTTCGTCATTTTATTCTAAAAAGTTAGTGCAACTGATATTTGTGGTCCTAAAATGCAATATTGAATTTAAAGAAAGAGCGTAGAAATGCTCTTCTTCAATAGCAATATCAACGGGTATCTTAATCAGACCTGTGTTCAAAAGAGAATGTCCCTTTTAGTATGAAAATCAGTTTCACACTTTTTTTTGCAGTGTCAAAGATGGTTACATTGCAATATTAAGCCTGCATTGAGTATTATATGAATAATTCACGTAACAGTAACAGAACTTGTGGTTATTGAGAAATTAAATGTGAAAATATTAACAACGGGAAAATATTGTGACACTAACGTTAGTTATTTTTTTATAATATTTTTGGCATCGTGTTTTGACAGGGTTACCATGTTTTATACATGGCAAAACTACCACTGAAGTATACATGCACTAAATAAACTACGGCTACATACACGAAATAATAAGATTACTAAACTGCGATATAGTTTATTGTGTCATAAAGAATTATTATCACGTAAATTATTGTATTCAACCATTTTATTTTAAAACGATGTTTATTTGACGACCGAATGGCGTAGTGGTTTGTGTAACGGACTGCTATTCCAAAGATCACGGGTTCGATTCCCGCTCAAGTCAAACGTTTGTGTGCATGAACATTTAATGTTTGATTTGGTCTGGGTGTTTCTATGTATAATATGTATGTATTTACAAAAAAAAGTACAAATGCTCTGCTTAGTTTGGGACTAGATGGCGTTGTGTGTGAATGTGGTTAAAAATCAATATATTATTATTATTCAACCGTTAATGGATTATTTCATATAATAACAACATTTAACTTAAATTGGATTTTATGTGTGACTGTAATTTTAAATAGATTTTATTCACATACTTCGTCTCCAACTAAAAAATGAAAGCAATTTCCTTCAATGTCACTACAGCATTTGTTATTTATAGATATACTAATTATTAATTCGTTGTTTACAATTTGAACACAGTTTATTTTTACTTGTGTGAACGCTAGATTTGCGTGGGTTATTGCTTATTTAGAGTATTATTGGGCCATTCCGTTCTTTGGTGAAGATGAGTCATTGACGTTTTGTGCCCTACTACTAATGTGTTTGCGAGGATTCAGACGAGTACACTTCCCGAAGCTGTTGCTTATCGACGTCGGCGTGCATGCATAACAACTTTGTGATAAAAAGAATCGTTTACAAAAGACTGGAGTACATTAGGGCTGTCATATTTTGTTCTGAAATATATAATTGTTACTCTACGCTTGCTCCTCTAGTGGTAAATGGGTAATGTCTTAATGAGTGTATATTGGCTTCTTATTATAGACAAGCAAATAATTATATATAAGTAGTATATATAGCTTTGTGCAAGTTTTGAAGTAAAAGTTCTTTACGCACGCCTGACCTGGGGGAGTAAGCGTGACGAGACCGTTACAAAAAGTGTGATCGGGCGAGGCGAACGGAAGTTGAGAGGGAGAGAGTTGAGAGATAATGAAAATAGAAAGAGTTACGTTTCGTATGGTGCGAGCACACATTTTCTTTCTCTCTTTCTCTCATAGCCAAGAAGTTTTACTTCAGTCGTGTGGTCTAAAGCACACTCGTTTTTTTAATCTCACAAAACACTTTTAATTTACTTGTGGTCTCATAATTGGGTCATTTAAATCGACCAAATACATTTTAAACCAGCTGCCGAAACTGGCGTAACGTTAATAAACGAACTTAAAATATTAATTTAACGCTCTACTAATGCTTAAATTTAAAAAAAAGCTAATAATATTGGTTCATAATAATAACACTTGATGATAGATTGTTTTAATTAATTTTAAGATATCGTTCTTAAAATTACAAACTATTTTTTCTTACGCATTATTAAAAAACGCTGAACACAAGATAACGTGGGATTTTGTATGTTTGCTTAATCTGAATAAAGTAATATATGCTCAAAATGTTCAACCCTGAATTTGTACAGATAGAGCGGGGTTGTTTGATGTTGATTGATACCGTTAGGCGGGCGCGCATTGTCTCGCCGACTCGCCCGGGGGAACCCAAATGAGTGAAATTATTAAACCGGGGCCCGTTCCGCGATGTGACGCTTTTTGTAATGAAAGTAGCGAGTGCTCCGAGCTAGTCGAAAACGAGGGGAACTTGAAACTCGCTGCTCCTATCAGTTGTAACAACAAACCGAGCTTCGGCTCTCGACCCTACCGCCACCCGGTTCTTATTGTCAAATGTTTTTAATAGGGAATTTTGAAATCACATTGATTACGACTTTTTTGTTGTTGTTCGTCTTCAAAGGATCAGCTGTTCCACTTGTATAATGGGATCTGTCAGATAAATCTAGATTAATCATGATATGAACATTTTTATTGTTGTTTTGTCTTTATTTGATAATATGTGTATGAAATCTTTCCTCATTTAATAGTTTAATCTAAAGATGGCATTCAAAATTTAAACGACATTCTAGCAGGGCCTCAATTCTGCTATTTTATGTTAACGTATAAGACACTGTCATTCCATTAACACGCTATTGAGATGCCATTGACATCGGTCAAAATATTGGTATTCTACTAACATAAATTCATAGTAACAATAGACTGTCGATGTAGTGACAATGGCTCATCAATGGTGATATCAACAACATTCCCAGATCTGGAAAAGTAAATATCCAATTTCCTTATAAATTTAAAGTGTACCATTTACCAAACTAACACAAAGACATCGACGACATTTGTATCAATGACGGTTCAGTGATAAGTCATCGGGAGAGGCCATTGGTCTTACATAGTTAACAGAAAAAGAAAAGTGCAAAACTATTTTGATGACATTCCATTGACTGTCTATTGAGACAATATTAAAATATCAGAATTGAAGCCCAGGATTCAAGAAGAACTAATCTACACTGAACTCGGAAATATGTATGTAATAAAGGATAAAATATGTATGTAATTTTCCCTACAAACATTTCCCTATAAAATTCATCAATTGTCAGTTAAATGTCAAGCATTTACTGAGATGTTGAACACAAAAGCGAGTAAGAAATTATTCACTGTGAGTCGCGAGCATTCAACGTTTGCTAGCTACGTGAAGGGTTCTAATTCGAGTTATTTATTTATGCAACTTTACGCTGGCACTGTGAATGTTGGCTCTGGAGAAATGTGCCGCTTCGCTCCCATGACTCGAATAAAGAAGTACTTTGAAAAATGTCCTTTTACAATTCCATACCGCGGTTGCCTGTGTGAAGTGTGACTCGATATGGTATTGTCAAAATGCTAATGATATTGGCACATCCAACATATGGTGCATATATATACAATATATGTTCATTACACATTGTGAATGATGATGATTGGCCGCATATTTACAAAAAATTAAAATTTCAATTTTTAAAATAATAATAATATAATTGCCTTTTAAAATTTAGATTTCAAGTTGGCTTTAACATCGTATTCTAAACCTGCCGCGACAGTGTGCACTAAAACTCTTTATCTCTTATCGAATTGTTCATATTTATTTTCAGCTACTCATTGTCTATCTTAGTACCTGAAACATTATTTGAGCAAAAACTTTGTTGCTTTAAAGTATATACCTTAGAGAATGTTACTGAGTGGTGGAAAATTAAGTGCCGTAACGGCAATTAACAAGGTTATATGCACAGGGTGTGATAAATGCACTATTATAGCCTCGTAAAAAATGATTCCTAACAATGTAAAAGTAATGCACAGAGCGAAATATTCAAATGTAAAAAGCGAGAGGCAGGGTTGCTCGCCTGCTGCACGTTCATAATAAACGAGATTGAGTGGGGCGGTGTACTGTAGACTCAAATGAATGACGGTAACAGCGTGAAGCGTAATCAGCCGACAGGCGACGTGCGTTCGCATGCAAAAACAAAGCAAATACATTTTACTCCGAAAATTTTGTACATGAAATTTCTAGGACGACCGAGTTGTTTCTAATAAATTAAGTGTATTGAATTAATACTGCACTTTTGGTATTAACTTATTTTTTTTAATCAAAATTTACATTTGGCACTTGGAAAATAACATTTTGCTTTTTGTTTGATATACCTCCTAGATGTACAAGTTACAGCCCTTAGTCCAATATAAATGAATATCTTAATTAATAACGGTTTTCTCGCAAATAAGAACTCTGTACTCAGCGTCTTATTGTTCTTGTCTTCGGTCTTTCTTCATTAGAATTAAGTAGTAAACACCTGATTGTCAAGCAGGGCCTTTTGTCTAAATAGTGTGTAGTGGGAATGCATGCACGAGTGGGTAACCTTTCAATTTTAATTGAATAAGCCGAGGGTGCTTGCTACAGAATCCGTCCCTGTTGCGCCTCGAGCACCCAAATTCTCAGGAGC